TATAACTTGCAACAGCATTCAAAATAATAGTTGTTCAAGAAGTGCTGAAAGAAAAAATTTTAGCAAATAAATCAAATTATAAAGATGAAATAAGCTGAGGACAGTAAATGTCAGGGACCAGAGAATTTTAAAAGTTTGTTTTTTTTTTTTTTTAGGGCAAATAGGTTGTAAGAGGAAATTCTTAAAATGGAATTTTATTTAGCTACTTCTATGAAAATACCAATCTTATAAGCACAGTAAGCTGAGAAACAATGACAAAATAATAAGGAAATTGCACAATTTGGGTAAAATATTACATGTCACTAGTCACTCAAGCTTACTTTCTTTTAGACAGTGACTTTTCCTGATATGGAGCTACATAAGGCATTTAGCATGATAGCTCTAGTAATCTGGCTGTGCCAACAGGGAGGACACGATAACATTATACACTGGCAGTGTCATATCGCTGAGCCACAGCTGGATGATAAAGTCATACTCTTATAGGGTGTGTAACGTGGGCTGGAACTTCATCAATCAATGACCCTGGAGTGAATGTAGATCTTTGTTCTCAGTACCTAGCAAGAAGACAAGTTCTTTCCTAGGTTTGAGGAATAGCATATATATCACTAGTACCTATTTTGCCAAAAGGTGGCTTTGAGCTGAGCCCTTGGGACTTCTGCATGGCAGAAAGTGGAAGGGAAGAGATGGGAGATCAGAGACAGTTTTTAAAATTGACTTTTATTCTGCTTAATGTCAAAAAGAATGGTATGACCTGCTTGTAGACCATCTTTTTGCAGCACTACTCCAAAGATATAAGTTCTACATCAATCTTTAACACTAGTATTATTAAACTGCATCCTTCCAGTATATGTTAAAACAAATGGAACTCTTAAACAAAAATCTCTTTTTATTAGTGTTTTTTCTTCATGAGAGTATATCTACTCTCATGATTGAGAGATGAGGACATCATCATTCTTACAGGATTGTCATTTTCGGGGGGAGGAAGAAGACTGATTATTTCCTCTTTAAAGTGTCTAGTGGTTTTCTTTGTGATACCATAAGGTACGTTAGTAAGATAAATGTTCTAGCTGTTCACCATAGAGCCTCTTAGTTACTCCATTTTGATATTTCTATGTATCCTTTCCCATCTTTAGTGATACTCTACCCAGTACTGCTTTCTTGACTTATCCGTGTCTTAACTAAGAGTCTAGTTACTCTTAATAAGGCACAAAGCTAAAAAAATAATCTTAACAAAATACATGCTAGTAGTAAATCACTACTAGCTTCTTGATGGACATGATATCCAAACCAAGTCCTAAAGGATAAATGGGGCTTAGCCAGGTAAAAAATGGAGGCGGGAACTTTTTGCAGCATATGCAAAGACTCTGTGGTAGATGGAAAAGTAAGCAGTTGGGGAGGGCTACTGGTAATTTTGTGTGATTTTAAAAGTAGAATGAAAGGATTAGGAAGTACTATAAATGGTCTGGAGGGAGAAATTCATCAAGGGTTTTGAACATTAAATAAAGGAGTTCTGTTTTTGTCTGGAGGGCAGACAGAAACCCCTTAAGGTTTTTAATGAGGAGAGTAACATTCCAGTTTATAAGAAGTACGTCTGGAAAAGGTGGAAAATGCTTTAAGCAGGGTAATTTTAGGAAGAATAATAAACAGCATTAATTTTCATCACATGCTACTATTGCTAAATTCATTCTACTGGGATATTGTCTTCAGAAATCTGAAATCTGGATCACTTAATAGAGTACAAGGATACATATAGTAAGTCTATGCTAAAAACAAATCTACAGGAAATTAATGTCAGGAGTCAGCAAGCAAAAAATCTTGTTGTAGTATGCCACTGCTTCTTGTGTATGATTTGTATAATTGAAGTAACAGTCTGGAGAACTTTCTGTTTGTTTATTTCTGAAGTACTGAGATTTGAACACAGGGTCTTTCATGCTTGCTAGGCAGGTGCTCTACCACTTGAGCCTCATCCCTAGCTCTTCTTGCTTTAGTTATTTTTCAGATAAGGTATCATGCTTTTGCCTACACTGGCCTGGTCCATGGTCCTCCTATTCATGCTACCAACATAGCTGAAATGATAGGGGTGCACCACTGGCCCTAGTTCATTGGTTGAGTCAGGGGTTTTGTTAACTTTTTGCCCAGTTGGTCTTGAACCACAATACTCCCAACCTCTGCATCCCAACTAGCTGGGATAACAGGTGTGATCCATCACACCCGGCTGGAGAACCTTCTTGCCATATGCACAACTATGTAGCTGTATAGTGAAAATGATTGCTGAACAAATCTTTTTTCTTTTCCTAGTTACATACTAATTATAATATCAAGTTGCAGAAAGGCACATTCATTTTGAAAGCATTCTTCAGTACAGTACTTACATAATTCTCAAGAAGAGAAAGAAGGCAATTGAAAAAAAACAGCTTCTATTTTAAAAGCATTTTTTTTACTCTAGCTCAGATACTTTCCTGAACACATTAACTTGAGCATAAGATTATTTAGCTAATAACAGGTAACTGCTATGAATCGCCACTTTCACACGATCAAACAAAAAAAGACAAAGAAGAACTGGAAATGCTTTGTTTAAAGCAAAACTAAAGCTCATTATCAATGAAAAGATTATAGTCCCTGTCAAAAAACTAAAAGTTGCTCAGAACGGTCCCTTCACAAGTACAAATGAGAGCTAGCATCATTTTAGTTAAAGGAATCAGAGAAAACATTTGGAGTTAGCTTTTTAACTATTGCCTTACTACTCCCCCAGGTAGTAAGAAGTCAAAAAGAATTTTTACATTGTTGGGAAAAATTTGTACAAAATGTCTGTGCATCCTACAATGACATCATTGACATGTTTTTAGAGCTAATTCTTAATAGTGTCAAATATTTCATTTCAATTTGATTAAATATTCCTATTTTATGTAATTTTTTAAAACATTTCATTGATTTGTACTCACATAATATGTATTAAGAGTCATTTTTATTTACACTTTTTTTGGCAGTACTAGGGATTGAACATGCTTTCTACCACTTGATCCTTGCTCCCAGCCCTTACAGTTTTTTTGTTGTTTTTTGAGATAGGATCTCCTAATATTGGCTGGACGGGTGAACTGATAATCCTCCTGTCTCCATCTCCCAAATAGCTATGAATACAAGCATATGCTACTATGCCTAGCTTATTGTTTATAATTTATTTTTGTTTTGTTTATAATTTTTATTTTTTCTTGCTGAGCCAAGGACCAGACCCTGAGCCTTGTACATGCTAGGCAAGCTCTCTATCACTTAGCTACACCCCAGCTCCAATTGTTCATAATTTTAAGCACCAATTGAATTTAATGTTTTGAAATAAATTGTTACATTTTCTGTTTAAGTTGCACTAAATTCTTAAGATCAATAATTGTGAATTCTGAGCTTTTATTTTATGAAAGTAAATGTTTAAAGTATCATCATTTTGCTCTGCTATTACATTCATCAGCAAAAAACTTGAAAGGCTTCTGTATTCATTTATTAACAATGATGAACTCAAAGATTGTGGCGTTTGGGGAGAGAGAAAAAATAGATGGATTTCACAAAGGGAATGAGACAAAATCACTAAGAGTTGGTAATTTGTGGGGTATTGTGTATGTGGAAGAAGGGAAAAAAGGATACTTGGCCTTTTGTATGATCTAGTTATGAACACATAAACAGGGAACATATCTTCCCTTTCTCCTTTCTCACTTTCTTTTTCATGGAAAGAAACCAGAAAAAGAACAGGGAAACTGAGAAGGGAAAGAAGGAAGCAAGAAGATGTAGCAGATAGCATCACTTCAGGAAAAGCTACAATTTCACTGATTAAATGCTCAGAAATTAATACCTTTGCCCTGCCATATTTCTCCTGGAAGTTTTATATATACCTAATATACCATGATGAATTTGGGACCTCTTCTGGTAGGCAAAAGAAACTTGAAAATAGGTCCTTCAGCATATGTGTAGTTAACTTACCCTAAGCAGACAATAAAATGACAAACAGCTGGAGGCTCATCCAAGGGCTTCTACAGCTTCTTAAACCTGAGAGACCCTGCATCAGGCTAGAGCCTAGGCCCCAACAGTTTATTGCTAGTGAGTGAAACTCGGATCTTGACTCTTACAGCTAGGAATGTGTGTGTATGTCTGTGGAGAATGCCTGTATTCTTGTATTCCCATGATAAAAATATGAATATTGTTTCCCAGTAAGATAATCTCTGTAGTGAGTGTTCCCTTCGTATTGTTGGGAGAGTCTTTGGATACATTATAGGTTCAGTTACCTGTTAATACCAGGTCAAGGAACCGAACTATTGTCATTTGGAACTTAGAATACATTTCTCATTTTAAAAAAATGTTTGAAAATAATTTAGGAGCCTAACTACCTGAGAACTACTTATTCTTTACATCAACAAATGTCAAGATTGAAAGCTTGGTTAAGATGAGTTCGTTCTAAAGAATCAAGGTAGATTACTAAATACTCTAATGTATTGCAAGGGAATTATACTCAGAATTGCTCTCTATTTTTTTATCTGAGGAGCACTTATTTCTGTTTCTTTTCTTTCTTTCACCTCCCTCCTATTTGCTGCACTTTAGAAACTCATGTTGCCTAATGTGAATAGAGTGTTTTATATAACTCTTTTTTTTCCTATACCAAGTTTGAACACTAAGTAGAGGGCTTAAGGTTTTAATCCTCTAATTGTCAAAAAGGCTAAGAGTGTTAAGCTTACTAAAGAGTTCTGCTGTGGTGTAACTTTGATTTCTATGATTAAAATTGAGAAGAGAACCATAAAAAAGGCAATGTTTTGGCAGTGGTCAGATGGTTGTTTTGGAACTCAAATGACACTCTGAGTCCTTAGCATTATTTTATTTTCGCCTGATTTCAAATGGAAATGAAGTCCCTAAAAACTTAAAACTCTGACCTGATGAAGAGAAGTGGTTTCTACAGTATTGGGACATCTTGAGGCCCATCTGTGAACCAGCAATGTGGTGTTTTCTTTCAAATTTTATTTCAGGAATCTCTACCACAGGCCCTCTCGGCATGGGAAGCACAACCACCAGTACTACTCTTCGGACCACAACTTGGAGCGCCGGACGGAGCACCACCCCCTCAGTGCCAGGAAGAAGAAACCGGAGTACAAGTACACCTTCTCCAGCTGCGGAGGTGCTTGACGACTTCACCACACACCTGCCGTCCGCATCCTCCCAAATCCCAGCTATGGAAGAGAGTTGTGAGGCTGTGGAAGCCCGAGAGATCATGTGGTTTAAGACCCGTCAAGGACAAACAGCAAAGCAGCCATGCCCAGCAGGAACTATAGGTAAGCCTAAGCCTGTCTAATCAACTAAGTTAAAGGAGGTTTTTTTTTTTTTTTTTTCCTTTAGCTTTATTTTCTAGAGGGTTTTTTTCCTTTCTTTTCTTTCTCTCCTTTCCTTCTTTCTTTTTTTTTTCTTTTCGTTGTTAACTACCTATTTTATTACTTCACATTTGATTGGATTCTGAACACAGCTAAATTACATTTTAAAGCAAGGTATTGTGAGAATTTGAAAATGCAATCTGCAGAAGTCATGGGGAGAGTCTGGTAGGAATCCCTCTGAGAACTGTAGTTTTCAGGCAGTGTCAGGTCTTGGGATCAAATTACAGTGAAACTGTAGATGCTTTTGCTTCTCCTCCTCCCAATAGTCATCTCAGTACAGCATTCCAGTGATACTTGATGGCTGGGAGTTTATCATATGTTTGTCACCAATAATTAGATATTGAATGCAGAAAATGAGATAGAGTATTTCTACATAAGACAATGACTATTGGCCCCGCCAAACATTTCACAAAACGAAGTTTGCCCTGCCCTTTTGCCAGTCATTGTGGTTGTTCGGTAGTAGTCACAGGCTCTTACCATCATCAAGATCCATGCTGGCAGTAGCCAGGTTCCTACTTACACACCAGAGAGGGCAACCCTGCATTGTTTCCTGTAGGGAATAGTTAAGAACTAAACAGCTCTTCACCTGCTTTATTGCTGACATAAATCATAGTATTCACTAATTCCAATCACAATATTATTTACCATTTTTAAGACAGAAATATTCCAACTTTCTTATTACAATGCCTTGCTCTTCATAGACTAATATGTCACACACTGAAAAACATTTGCATTATTCCCTAAAATATAGAAATATGCAATAGATGTCACTATTCCAGGATTCCTAGGAACTGTGTCTTTGGGCATTATTGATTTAGTTTCTTTAAAAGAGAAGCTTTTCTTAGAGAAGTTCCAGTATGGATACATCATTCCAGATTCCATGACATTTGAAGCTGTGGGAACAAGGGAGAGTACCTTGGTTTCTATAAAAGTGCATATTTGTTTATTTTTAGCAAAATGTTAAAAAATGCTGAGCATTCTTCCTTCCCTTTCTGAAAAGGAGGAAGTATATTATTTCTAAAGTCTTCTGGGGTATTAGAGTCAGAAAGCCTCTTGAGACTTCCTTCTTTCTTAGTTCTGGGCCTCAGTTCCTTATCTCTAAAAGAGAAGTAATAACAGCCTACCCACTTTGAACATTTCTTGTGAAGGTTAGTGAAATACTTTATTTAAAAGCACTTTGCAGTACTGAAATATGTCATTATTGTTCTGTGAAAATTGGGGAAGAGTTTTAAGGGCTATCTTCTGAAACCTTCAGAGAGCTTAAAGGTTACTGTCAATGTACCTCAGTCCTATTTTTATGCTTCTCTGGCCATTTTGTTATACCTTGATCTAGGCCCTCACAATTTCTCACTTGAATTATAGCCATAGCTTCCCCTCTATGGCAACATCACTCCTTCAAATTCATCCTCCATTCTGCTGCCAGAGTTCTCTTTTGAAACCTAAATACACTCATTTCTCTTCTCTTCTTAATTGTGTCCACTGATTTTTTTTCCTACACCCACACAAGATAGACAAGGACTTCATGACCTGATTTTACCTATCTTTCCAATTACATTAAATACAACTTCTTCATCCAGTAGACCCCAATTCAAAAACTTTAACATCTCCAAAAGACAGCATATTTCCCTTCCACTTGGAAAGACCTTTTCCATGTTTTCCTGATTCCTTTAAAACTCCCTCCTATCTTGCTCCACAAGCTCCAGCAATAAGGCTAGTGAAGGCAGGTCCCATGTCAGTATAATTCCTGAAGTTCTTCCTCACACCCAGCATAGTTCTACAATTGCTATAAAATATCAGATGTTTTTGTTGTGTAGCTTTTGTCCTGTGTCATTTCTTTTCCAGGCATTATATTTGGATTTAATAGACATTATCTTAATTTAATTATCTCATTTTTACCTTTGCTTCTACTTAAGTATAGCAAGGATGTGAAGTCATTTGAAAAAATGGTTCCAGTGTTTGAAACAGATGTATTTCTCTCATTGTTGTAGGTGTGTCCACTTACCTATGCCTTGCTCCTGATGGAATCTGGGATCCCCAAGGACCAGATCTCAGCAACTGTTCTTCTCCCTGGGTCAATCACATAACACAGAAGGTAAAGCTTGAGACTGACAAGGAAGGTTTTGTTTTATCTATATCCTTTGTTGTTGCTAAAAACAAAAGTCAAGATTTTTAAAAAAAAATATGGAAAACTTCTCTCATTTTAATTTGAGACTGAAAGACAACCTCAAATATTCTGTGTGCTAATTAATTCTAAAATTCAGTTGTTTCTATCATATGAATCCATGAGCTTCCTCTAAGCCAGGCAGTATTGCTTACAATACCTTCATTATTCATTACATTTCTATGGTATAGTGAGCTACAGACATAAAGGTCCATGAGGCATTCTAAATCAGGCAAGTGAAAGTGTTTACATATATACATATGGATTTTTCCTGGGAAAGTAATAATTATAGTAGGAAAATCTACCTTTGGAATCTTAGGCCTTTTGAAAAAATGTTCTTTTACCTAATCATTTATCAGTGCTAAAAGTATACATGTGTGACAGAATCTTGCAGACTCAAATTTGCAAAGGCTTATTTGGTTGCAGTATGTTGAACATTTTTATTATTAATGCACTGTGGGCCTTTGAAATGGTTTCATTACAAACAGAGACCAGATGTGCATTTATGCCAAAAGGGCTACGGGATGAATCCTTATTATAGCAATTTATGTGGATTTATGCAGTCCTAAAACAGAGAGTCTTTCTATGGCACATTAGCTATGCTGAGGAATTTCTGAAAGAGATTTTTCCTGAGAAATATTACAAATGATGGCCTTACTAAAAGCCTGCCTGTGCCATTTGCTCTTTTCTCTATTTGTTTTTAACTAGGCTTATCCTCGATAATATGCTATATAATAATCTATAAATATCTACCCAGTCGATCATTTAGCAGATGAGCCCTAACTATCTATTTACCGTAAATCATAGAAGAATAGTGGTTATATTGACTCCAGTTACACTCTTACAGATGCATCTCATCCTTGTTGCTATTCATAATGATACTTCACCAGTTTCAGCACTGTTCCTGCCACAGTTTTTATGTCCTTTGATTTTGTTACAATGTAGCTCAGACCCCAGGGCAAATAACTCTTTCTGGATATGATCAGATTAAGAGATCAGTAGCATATCTTTTTACATTAGCAACTTTTAAAAACTACTCCCTAGATACTTAGCCCAGGGGTTAATATAAATTCAGTAATAATTCATCTAGAAAGCTGAGTGTTTTCATGATAATTTCTGCATATCACTGGACTATTTCACTACAGAAATTACTAGGTGACTTGAACTGATAATGATACTTAATTCCTTTCTTTCCTCTGCAGCCCTGCTAATCTTAGGACAAAAGAGATAATTCCTTTCAAAGACCAGACAGCTGTTGCCCATTTGATTTATGGAGGAATGTTTTTGTTTTGTCATAAGTATGTCCTGTTCCTCCAGATCATTTCTGCTTAATCTCCTGAGTCTATAAAGTTATGACATAATATATTAGAATTGTATTAGAATGAAGAATTTAGTCCACTGAAATTTATAACAATACCTGAAATTTATAAAATCTTCAAAAGAATATCAGGAGGCTTTTGAGCACTGAATAGGCTTTTAACTTTCCCAAGGTTGGTGATGAAACCCGTGTTTTGGCTGCTTCTGCCTTCATCAAGAAATCATGCTTCCCTCCACCCACCCTGATTATTTGTGACCCGAATACCTACACTCACTTAAACTGGCTGGCCTTTCTTCACTCTGTCCACCCCTTTACTTGGTTGTGCACCTACCCCTCCAAATACGTATGTGACTCACTAAATGTAAATGATGGTTGAGCAGATTTCTGTACCACAGAACTCTAGCACTTTTAAACATTAGCATTGTAGCCCTTCACTAAAGGAGAGTCTTATGCAGTGTTCACAGAGTTATTTGTCCATTTTTTTCTCCCTCCTTCTCAAAGCATTTTCCACAGAATTCATCTCTTTCCTCATCTTTCTCAGCAAATAGAGTTCCCAACAACAACCACGTATGCCATGCGAGGAGCATTTGTTTCCAACTGTACTGGGGGCAGCAAAAGCAAAATGCAGGGGATTGAGAAGGAATCCAGAGCCATTAACTGGCCCAGGGCCTGTAGAGATGATGGAAAAGTGGAAACAGACTGTCTTTAAGAAGAAAGGAAGTTGGAGGTAGAGGGTGGAGGGTGGATGGTGGAGGGTGGAGAGTGCCCCTCACTAGGAAGTGAAAGGTACCCAACATGGACCTCAGCTTTTCTCCACTCCCTTCTTTTGCCCTCTTCTCTTTCCCATCCCCTCATTTCACCTCCCCCTACCCCTCCTAGGTAGCTTAGTAACAACAGAAATTTATTTCTTGTGGTTCTGGAAACTGGGAAGTCCAACACTGAGTTGCCAGCTGATTCAGTGGTAAGGGCCTGCTTTCTGTTTCACAGGCAGTAACTTCTTGCTGCATCCTCATATGGTAGAGTGGCCGAGAAGCTCTCTCGTGCCTCTTTTGTAAAGGCAGTATTCCCATTCAAATCACCGCCCCAACTTTTTAATGTTATCATATTGGAGATTGTGTTTGGCATGTGCGTTGGGTTTCAACATTTCCATTTAGACTATACCAACCTCCTCTTGGCTTTGCAGGACCTCTAAGGCGTTTTAAAGGAAAGAGCATTGACTTGAGGTTTGTGATAGTGAGTTATGGTAGACAAATCATTAACCTCTGGATCAGTTTCCCCATCTGCATAACTGAATAGATCATTAGTTTCAGTATAAATATTTGCTCAGTGATTGTCAGCAATATTGTGATCATATACAAGGAAAATAATCAAAACATTTACTTTAGTTGGAAAAAGCAAACATAATATTTGCATTTTCTTTTAAAAATGAAATATGCTGTTTTCCCCTTAGCAGTCAGACTACGAGGAAGAAAACAGACAAAGAACAGTAGTGATTTTGGACACATAAGTGAATCTGGGCTACTTATATGCTAGTGAAGTTAAAGATTAAATTTTATATAATAATAGAGGTTAGATTACATTCACCGGAGAAAATTTAAGTTTTTAAATGTAAGCTTCAAATTACTTGCAAACAAACTAACCAGAAAAACTTCATAATAATGATATTTAATAAATAGAAAGCAAAATTGATAAAGAAAGGGAAAAGTATAACTTGTACTAAGAAGGACCTTTCTCCCAATGATTGGGGAGGGGTGGCAGTCTGTAGATGAATGAATGATGAATGAATGGATGAGTAGAAATGTAGCAGGAAAACAAGTGGGTACATAGACAGGTAGATATCTATAGATATTCTTCTAATTGTTTTTATTAGTTTTTATTGAAGGGCAACAAGTTAGCACAGAACCCTGCCTTCTGAAATACATGTGACAAAGTATCTTTATTTTCTCATCTTCCTTAATGACTACTAAAAAATTATAATTTCTAGCTTCAGCTTGATCTGTAGCCTGGACTTAATTTTTCAAAATGGATTTTATATTTTCAATCTTGCATACTGTTAAAAAAAATTCATTGTACTTTATCATCTTACCAGTCCTTTTTCCATTTAAAATTCTGTGATAGTATAATTTTGAATTGCTTCCTTATTATTTACATGCAAGGTGAGGAATGCTTTTAATTTCGTGGCCTGGTCCCACTATTATGTGAAAATGAACCAGTTGAATTGTTACAGACTTAGTCTCTTTTCATTTCCAACAAACCAAAGTCCCTTTCTTTTGCCTATATACAAACTACAGGGCAGATTTTAAGATAATGCAAGGCTGTTCTTACATTTTCTAAAGAAGAGCGATTGGAGTTCTAGAAATGATATCAGTATTTTGTAACATATAAAATAAGCTAGTTATTTGCCCTCAAAGATTAGGTTAAATTTTGTCTCTTGTACTTTCTTAGATCTATAATGGAATGCAAGTAAATGATTTAGAATTATTTAACCTACCTCTAATTATAAGGTGAAGCATTTGGTTTGTATTCTCACTTGTCTTAGATTTGTAGTAAAATAAGATTTTTCAAAGAGATGGTAGTTTTATAGCTATGTATTTAAACACTGTGAGTAATTCCCTCCTACATTGTTTTGGCTCCTGATTAAGGGTTAACATAATAAATTTCATAAGCTGATTTCAAAGAAAATTAATTTTACTTGTGTCAAAATTTAAAATGTGAGTAGTATCTGTTTCTATCATAATTATTTTCCTTTACTAAACCTGGAACGTTTTCCCTCCCCTATTCCAAGACCTGGATCTAATCTCTCCAAATCAATATAGACATTAATGTACTAATCCTCACAAACTTATAATATTTCTCAGTGTGTGTGCTTATTTCTATGAAATAATTTTAGTAAAATTTAATGAAGTGTTAAAGATAGACATTTTAATCGGGTCTGTAAACCAGGAAAAACATATTTCCCTGCCTCTATGCAGAGAAAACGTGAGAGTTTGTGTGTATTTTCATGCTGAAATAAATCCATTAGTCCATAATAACTGGAGGGAGAGAAATATATAGGGTGATTGGAGAGAGAGATCTTTCAGATGCTGACAGTGTACTCACAGGTAGTTCAGATTACAGCAGCTGTGGGAAAATCCAGTTAGTGGTATCGACATTGAGTTATGTAAACCAGAAACCTGGGCATGGTGCTTCCTTTTCCTTCCCCTCCACATCCAACAGACAGGAGGCCTATCAGGTGTACATATAAACCTCTCTCTGGTCGGTCAGGCCTCTGCTGTTCTCTTCTGTCCATTCCCCTGTCCTAATCCATAGCCACTTCCCCTCAGCCCAGGTCTCCTTTCATTCATTCCTCATCCTTCTAATCCATTCTCCTGAGAGTTAGATTCAAATGCATAACTGATTAGACCACTGCTTTTTAACCTCTTCTGTACCCTCCCATTGTTCTCAAACTCTTCATGTGACTTCCAAACAAGGACCACTCTCATCTGTTTCATGCTCAACGCTTCAGCTGCCTAAGCTCCAGGTAACAGTACCTTTGGTGCTGTCACCCTTAGGTTTTGCACCCCTCCCTCCTAAAAACTGTTCTATCTGCCTGGAATGTCCCACCCACAGCCCA